GTTTGATCACGTGACAAACAGGTTTCTTAATAAATAATCCAAATTGACAACCCACATAAAATCAATTAGATTATGTGAATGGGTTAAAAAAGCTGGATGTCTCTCTTACACGTAAAATCAAATTTAGAATTTTCAGCAATTATAAATATACAGTAAATGCCGTTACTCCATTATCCATTAAAGTTCTAAAACTATTCACAATGAGTAATCTAATTTCATTAAACACTCCAATCAGAAAGCACCTATATTATTTATAAACTCTGTCAGTAGCAAATTTATTTAATAGTTCATAATAAAAATCCAATTTAAGTAAACTTATAAAATGAATATAACCGAGCCTTACAATCATGTTAAGTTGTTTTATATTTTAGACAAAAATTGTTATAAATTAATGGATGCTGGCAACCAATAATCTTCATTTTCAATCTCTTAGACGATGGTAGAATTCCTTTTTCAAAGGTTATCATCAGTTAGAGACTCACACTTCCTATTTGTCACGTTCTCTCTGCGCGAATGATGCATAGTGGCAGTTTCCCTCGCCTAAAACCCATCAGACAATTAACTCGGTGTGTAATAGTTGCTGCATACCAGTTAAAAACTAAACAGGAATATCTAAACATCGATCCTCATTTTCTCCCACCCTTTGAATTTCCAATCTATTGAAAGAATTACAGGATTACGACACTATACCTATTGATTATTTTAATCTAGCAATTTGCGTGCGAGGGTGTGTGTGTGAGAGGGGGGGGGGGAGAAAGAGAGGATTAACAAAATGTTATCGTGCATCATTTTTTGTATAAGTCTGTGAAGAGAATGACGCAACTAGTGTGAATCCCAGGATGACGGAAATAGAATCACACACAAGGCTAATTGTAAGGACCAATCGATCGATAAGTTCATGCACTCAATTGAATATGAGCAATCATTGAGAGTAGGCTAACAGAAGGATGGCTTAGTTATTAGTTGAATAAAGAGCCTACACTTTCAAAATAAACAGCTGCACTTTTGCCACATGACTTCTCGGGTCAACAATCACCACTATCTGTATGATTAATAAAAATCATTAATATTATCAAATTTAAAATATTCCATACCTAAAACGCATCCTTTGTATAATTAAATTTAACATCACTTGTGGTTTCTAATATTATATATTTCATGCCGTTTATCAGTCATCTTGAACGGTCACAAACAACCAAGGAATTCGTTTAACATTCTCAAATGAGGAGCCAATATGATGTCAATATCCGTTACACTATACATGCATCATTATCTGCCAAATACTTATGTTGCTACCATGAAACCAACAGGCCAAGTTCCCTCTTGCACTCTAACATTTGTCTTAAGTTTCACTTTATTGTCAGAAATTTTAACGACTTCATTGTAACTAAACCTGTGACTCTCTTCTATTTATCACACCACCAGAATTCTAGACGCAGACTGGCCTGGTCCCACACACTTACATCTCCCCACATGAATGTAAGCAAACAGAATATACAAGGATGCGATTCGGTGGTAACGAGTTCCAACGGGTTTTTCTAGGTTCTTGTACATGATTTCAAGGGGTTGTGCTAGTCATTTTTACATTCTTTCGTCGTCTCAACATTTAATTTAGTCAATGACTAACACAGGCCAAAATGAATCAAGTATCTAACTAATTCCTTTGAGACCTATGAGACTGGTATTAAACAAGGCCACACACAGATTTCGAACCCGTGCTGATAGGCTAATGAAGTCTGAACAATATATGGTTGGCACACCCAAAGGTAGGAAGTTTTTCTAAAAGATAATTCATTACAAACTTAGGAAATTAAGATGAAAACTTGACTTCTTTGTGGGCTACTAATAAGACGATTGGTCTGTAGTCACACATATGGTGAAATGCATCATAATTGTCCAAGCGAAATCGATATACTTCACACTGATGTGTTTACGGAAACATTTTTCGCATTCAGTTCACCTGATAATTCGTTAACTCTGATTCAAATTAATCATTGTTTTCAATTTCCTTGCTGAATTTCCCGAGAAATGCCACCGATGAGATTATTTAGAGGTAATTCCATTTTCGTTTATCCTTTTGTCATTTACAAGCACGCCTTCAAAGTGAATCGTTGCTTAACCTAAACAAGAAAAAGGTCGATAAATAAAGTTTGATGCAACTAACTTGCATTCATGTAGGACTTACCAAGATAAGTTTGGTACTTAGCAGATTTAATAAAAATTTCAGGTGAGTTTTGGTTGTAAGTGAGGTATACCAGTAATATTAACCCAAAAAAGTAATTTTCTTCATAACATTAGTTAACTAGACTACACTCAAGAGTAAATGAACATGCCTCATTGTCTTTTGACTTTTTTTAAGGAAGCAGGACAGCAACCGCAGGGAACTTTTCTCCTCATTGGAGCAATGAGCTTGTAGCGGAATGGTACACTAAGAAGCCTTTACTTTTCTTTAGTAATTCCTAAAGCAAGTTCTTCGTGACTATATTAGCTAAGTTATTAGACAAAATAAACGTATAACGTGAAATGCATTTATTCGGGTGATATCATGATTGATGTTATATCGTAGAATAAAAGTAACAATTAAAGGATAATCCAATGAAATTTTCTAATGGATTGTGAATATTTTACAAAAAAATCTCATATGCTTTAATTCGGGGTATAGAATTTTTCTGTATTATCGAAGTCAGGTTTGGTGAGTTGGTAGAAATGAAATTCTTAAATAATTGACTTATTTGTTAGTTCATAAAAACAAATAAGAAAGCTACGAACAGCTGACAAATCATTAACCCGAAAAAATTAAAACTTTAAAGACTTTTACGAAATTCACAGTTTGTTTTAAAAACAAGTGAGGCTAGCTAATTAGGCATATGAAATAGTGCGATTAGTAGCAGATAATTTGTCTGATCCGCTCTTCTCTATGAACTGCTTGAACCGAACCATAGATGCAGAATGAAATTGTATTTGTTGCAATTACAACCTGACAGACCAAAAACACTGTCTATGTAAAATGTTGGTCTTCTTATTGGTCATTTTCAACAAGGAATTGAAATAGAGTAATCGAAGGAGAGTTGGGGGAGGGGGGGGGGGAAAGTGGGGGAGAGAATTAAAACTTGAGAATTATTTATGGGAAGATTATCATTTAATGCTGGTGATAAATACTGTGCATGCATTTGTATTAGAGGATATAGCAATGAAGATAAATTATTCGCGAAATAATATGAACAAAACTGATTGGTTATAAATTGGAGAATAGTGTTAATAGAAATAGCAGATTACGAAAATCCAAAAACCACGATTTTCATTAATAAGTATATAATATAATAATGATAACTATGAGAGCCCCATTTTAGTTTTAGTAAAAATTTTGATACTTTAGCGAAGTTAGCTAAAATGTTCTAATTCCTACACATTCGCTGTTTATCAATAAAACAATTCATTTGATCAATATTGAAGTTCCATCTTGCTCAAAGGCTAGTAAAATAGAAAACATAAAAAATAAGACAGATTAATAATCGCCACATAAGACATAGGTAATAAAGAGAATAATCAAAGTCAATAATTTTGCCTGGTGAACTTATAATAACATAAACCCTTTGGGATAAATTTCCCAATTTATTCTTCTCACATAGAATTAATTTATAAATATATATAGAATGAGAATAATAAACATACGAAATCTTCGAAATAATTTAGTATTTTAATACTATTACTTTATACCTCTTTGAAATGTTAACCTTGAATATATCTCAGGGACGCTGATCACCCTTCGGCGAAATTTCTAACGATGTCGATAACTTACTCAAGTGCCATCGCAACTGCTACTTATGGTTCCTTCTTTCGCCTTCTTTGTCGTTGGAAAGGAAGTATTTATAAACTTATTTGGGTTGATTTACTAGTATTTTCAATTCTTTATTCTACTATTGCTTTAATGTATCATTTATCTCCTATTTCATCTCCAGGCCTTCTTGAAGCCCATAAACAGATTTTGAACTTTCTTGATTATGTTGAATCAATGTCGAATTCCCTTCCAATATCATTTATTCTTGGCTTCTTTGTGACTCTTGTTGTCAATCGATGGATCGATCAGTTTAATTACCTACCAACATCAGACGGAGTTAGTCTATTAACATGTGCATACATTCAAATCCCATCCAAAATAAGCAACAAAACTTCCTCTTTGATTATCGCTGATGAAGTTGCAGTTATTCGTCAAAGTATTGCCAGATATATTAATTTGGCAGCTGTACTCTGTTTCCAAACCATTGCTCCAAATGTTAGAAAAGTTTACGAAAATACTCAAAATTATATAACCAGTGGATTAATGACAGAGAAAGAACACGAGTTCTTTGGACAAGTGGATCCGCGCTATCATCCCTTCTACGTACCATTGATGTGGGCCATCACTATTGTCAAGCGTGCAAAAGTGCATGGATATATCGCTCATGAACGTCATATGAATGCATTGATTGACGAGATACTGAAATTTCGACGATCTCTCTTCACTCTTCTCAATTACGACAGTGTTCCAATTCCTCTCGTTTATACTCAAGTAAGCATTAATATCAATCAAAATTATCATTTCGGGTATACTTAAATCTCTATTAATAAATAAGGAACTGCGGCTTTTCATTTTCAATATTCCATAAAAGTGGCTATATGTGAGTATAGTAATACATTCCTTATAGTAAGTACTGTTTGCTGTGAGATGGGTAGATATTAACCTTAATTATTTTATCCATTCCTTTTTATGTTTCTGTTTCCATTAAAAAATAAGTCAGCAGTTTTAATTAAGATAAAAATCTCATTTTAGACATTCTTTAGCACATTATTATATGAAATAGGCAATGGCATATATACATGCAGCCCAAATATTCTCAACCACTTTTAAATCGATAGTGGTCGATATACCTGCTTGTTTGGCTATCGATAGATCCCGGAAACCCCTTAAAAATGATCTACTGCTTAATCAAATGATCATTTATGTGTTTACTGATTTTGAATAAATTTAAAAGTCATATGCATAGAGATACTTTGTAGGAAGTCGCCCAAGGGATAAATTTATTCTAAATGACTTCTCGTATCAAAAGACCGGTTTTAATTCCTCTCCTGCATCAAAATTGACTACTTTTGTTTTCGTAATATCCGAGTACTTTATGTTTGACGGCATGATGAACTGTCTTAGTGACATGCCAATCTGACTATGACTGACCTCTCTATCTATCTATGCAAACATTTGTGTCTGATGCAATTTGCTAAGTTGTAACCAGTCAATATATATCCCTTTTTAGAGTCTTCTGGGGGTTTATATGATACTTCTGATTTGTTACTCTGTTATAATTTCCAGTCAGTAGCTCACCACTCATTCACTATTTGAGGTAAACTCATTGGCACAGTTACTACAGATAGAGATTCATTTATAGGCATGTCCAAATTTTCTATCAAGATTTATTTGTAATCAAAAGGTTTATTTATTTAATGCAGGTCGTGAACATTGGCGTCTATGCAATATTTATAATCTCACTTGTGAGTAGTCAATTTCCTCGAGAGCTGCCAAACGTCCCCGGGTTCCATCCAAATGGGAGCCCCATATTTACTAATGCAACTGAAACACACCAAAAACCGAATCTCTACGTACCTGTCTTCTTCCTTCTTGGAATCACATTTTATTTGGGATGGCTCAAGGTAGCGCAGTCTCTACTGAATCCGTTCGGTGACGATGACGAAGATTTTGATCTTCTGCCTCTCATGGAACGCAACCTGGCCATTAGCCTGTGGATGGTATGTGGAGTTTTTATTAACGAAACATCCGCGCTTAATTTTCGAGCTCAGTAAAATCGTATTGAAATCTAGAGTACAACGGCGGAGGTTATTTGGTCACCTGATCGATGGTTGTCAATAGAATGACCAAAGCAGTTAACAGCTGGTTGACATGTTCGAGTTTGTCACAAACAAATAAGTAATTTATCAGCGATAATTAGATATTTTTATTGTTAGACGTAAACATTTTTGTTCAAAATTTCCCAAAATTGAATTTTGTTTAAGTCTTTAAAGGGCATGTGCATATAGAATGCAGCCGCAAAAGTTAGTAAAGCTTTTAGAAGTTAGGAAGATTTGGCTGCTGTAATATGAACCTTGTCTTCTTACTAAGCGTAGACAATAAGTGGAAGAAAAAGGTAGGATGATTGAGAGGGGGGGGGCATGACAGTTGATGGGGAGTCCCGATATCTCTAGGCGTTTGCATTAATTGGATTTATGGTTGGCAAAATCAATAATAAGGATGGTAAATAGGCATAATTTATTTCAATAACCTGTAATAAAAGTCTCACGTCTTTGTCTAATTTCCTAAGATTGATTTTTTGGAGATGATATCATCAAAACGCGCTCTCATACTCCCTAGATCAGCTAACTTCTATCTATGATTGGCACACCTCAATGGGATAGCCTTATCAAATATAACTATAATCCTAATTACCAACATGGCTCTTACCACCCCTACTTTCTTACTAGTTCTAGAGACTAATTGTTGATGATGTCCGATGGAAGTGATTGAAGATGAGGTAGTCCGTATCGTGAACACACAAGCCCCAAATACCATATACGCCAGTAAGGCTCTCTTTAACTAAAATTAGTTAGTTCGGAAAACCGTAGTTGCATAAAGTAGTCAGACTGTGCTTCATTGGGTCAGTCCATTTATGCCACATTTTAGGTTGATCTGCGTCACGGACTTCCGCACCAAGCACCCAAAATTCATCCAGAAGAGGGTCCAATGACTTCTGCACAACAGCGTTTATCCTTCGCCAAACCTACTGACACGCTCTTCTTTCGTCAGGTGGGTCCAATCTCTGAGGCGAATGATGACCCATTGAGTGAACTTCTCGCATCAGCAGCACAATTGTATGTGCCTGAGACCTTGACTCCTGCTGGAACAAATGATGAACTAGATCAAGCCCCTCAATTAGGATCGGCTGCTATTGTATTTGAGAGAAAGGAGAGTCGACGAATAAGTTTGAGTGTAGGTGACTCCATCGGAAGGAAGCAATCGTCTATGGCTGTGAGTCACAATATCATTAAAATAGCCTTTCTTATTACATTCATCCTTAATTGATCAACTCTCTATTCATTTGATCTTAAGTCTTTTCTGTCGACTTGGTGTACACTTTGCAACGTTATAACTACATTGATGGGGTTGTAATACTTAGCTTCTACCACTTTAATCTCGGTGTCCATGGTTGGAAAGAGTTATGGAATCACTTCAAACCACTTGAGTATTTTTTTAGGGCTGATTTATTAGCACGAGAATTCACTCCTTATGTTTGGCATCGGGGTGTGCGATAGACTTACCTCCACGTGGGGCACCCTGGGCAACGTATACTCATACGGCAAAAAGTCTATTAATAGGCAGTTGACTTCTGACTTCAAACTACCAAGTCCCCACTGCATTTCATATTCGACTACTTTCACAGTACTCACCTCACCTTTTTTCTACCTTTGTGTCCGTCTGTCTCTTTTACGTCTGTGAATCATTATTGTGTCCCCCCTCTCGACATTTTGCCAATTTGATGCTCCTCTTCCTCTCTGTGAAGCCCGAAGTCGACTAAAGGGCTAATGGTACCTATCATAATGCCTGCCATTTGAAATAAATAAATAAATAAATGTTTGGCATCTGAAGGGCAATTCACACCTGGATTGATGACAGTTTCTGTTCAAACTGGGTGAAAGTGCGCCCGGACCTAGGACACTAATTCATACATTTTCATTGATACTCTTTCAATAAATTACTCCTTTTGTCAATTAACGATAACCAATAGCTTGAAATAAACGTAGTCTACCTTTCGGCTACATGTCGCTTGAAGTCTCCCGCGCATTGCATTTGGTTGGTAGTTAACATGGCAATTGTTAATTTCTGTATTGTATATATTCTGGAGCAATTGTGCTCTATTCATCTTTACAAT